GGCAGGCATGTGGGGAAAGAGGAACAGGAGAGGTTCTCAGAGAGGACCCTGGTGCCAGAGAGCCAGCCCAAACCCAGAGCAGGTGGGCAGCTGGGCACGGGGTCCCCTCACTTTCTTCTCTTAGAGTTTCCTCAGTACAGGACCCAGGGAAAACCTGGCTGGTGCCTCCTGCCATCTTTCTGCCCTCCTGCCTGTCTGCCTGAGAGCCTGGGTGTAGGGGTGTGAGGGTGCGAGGGTGCAAAAGCGTGCATCCTGTCGCTGTGGCCCCCAACCGCAGGCCCTGCTGGGAGGAAGAAGCGAGGTGGAGACACCCTGCCTGCCGGGCGGGGCTTACTGCATCCTGTGACCCTTCCTGAGGCGGCAGCTGGGCAGGTGCTGGGGAGATGATGAGAAAGGTAAAGGCCACTGTTCGCTGGGCTCTCAGCAGCTGGGTGGTGGGAGGGAGGTGTGCTAGGTGAGGCTCCCGTTTTGTGCATGTGTGAGTGTGTGTGTGTAGGAATGGGTGCTGCCCCCCACCCCGAGTGAAGGGTGGGGTGGGCTCAGTCTCAGCTGGCCCTGGTGAGAAGCCCGCTGTGGGAGCCAGCAGCCCAGAACCCAAATCAGGGCTGACTGGGAGGGTGGCTCGGGCCCTGGGTTCTAGACAGTGCTTGTCCCCGCCATGCCATGTCATGCACACTGGGCGTGTGCCCCCAGAAGCGCAGGGGCCCGGCCACTCCCTGGGGCCGAGGGAAGAGCAGAGACCCAGGACGGTGCACCAAGCCCAGAGCTCAGTCTGGGGCACCCACACAGCCTGGCTGGCGTGGCTGAGGAACGTGCACAGCCGTGCCTCTCCACAGTCCCTGCCAGTCCTGACTGGCTGCGTGGGGCTGTGTGTCCAGCTTGATCTGTGCTCACTGGCCATCTGTCGTGGAGGTGATCCCACTGACGTGTGAGGAGGCAGTGCTTGGTGTCTGAAGGGCTGTGGTGGCAGGCGGCAGCCTGGCATTCGGTGGCTGTGCCCCTACTTTAAGGGAGACATGCCTGTGGGGGCTACACCAGGGGACTCACTGTGCTCTGGGCTTGCCTGTCCCCTGGGCTGAGGGACCTGACTCCAGACCTCCTGCTGCTGCAGGGCGCTGGGACGAAGGCTGCAGCCAGGAGACTGGGATCCCCTTCCTCCCACAGCAGCACCTGCTGACTCTGAGCGCCCAGCTCTCCTGGGGAGGACAGGATGGTGTGGGCCCCCTGCCTTTCACAGCCCCTGCTCCTGAGCTGGAGTGGGCAGCCTCTGTTGCCTCCCACCCCCTAACCTCACTCTCCAGCTCCACTCTCACCAGGCTCTGGCTGAGGATGTGGTGAGAGGAAGCTCTGATAGGAGGTGACAAGTGCGGCACTGATAAGGCTTCCTGGACTGTTAGGCCAGGAGCCTCCCCCTCCTATTCCTGGACTGCCTGTGTTAGCACGAGGTTTGCGCCTGTGTCCCCTCCTCTCATTATCAAAGGCTCCCCTTTGTTGATTAAAAGTGAGGCCTGCATGGTTAAGTGTGTGGTGAGTGTGAGTGGTGCGGCCTGCGACTCCCCATCAAACGCAGCCCTCAGCACGAATCCCAAGCCTGTGCCTCCAGGCCCTTTTCCTCACTCAGTTCCTGCTCATTCTTCAAAATGCCGCTCAGTCTAGGCCCCTTCTGGACACCCAGAGGCTCCTGTATCCCTTGGTGGTCTGCCTGTGAGTTTGACACAGGGAGGCCCCACCACCAGTTGTGTGTGAAATAGATGGGATGGAGGACTTGTGTCCCCAAGGCCACAGCCTTGGCTGCAGCTTCCCCAGGCAAGTGGAGGGCTCTGAGTATGAGTGACAGTGGGTGAGTGTGTGGGTGCGTGTGAGAGATGTGTGCAGATGCATGTCTGCCAGGTACTGGTGGGGCTGCAGAGGGCCTCCTTGTGTCCTGCCCACCCCCCGGGATGGGGATGGATTCTGATTGGGCTGAACAGGTTTTAGGTGCCAGGGAAGGGAGCAGCCCTGGCCTGGGCCTGGGGGGCCTGGGCAGAAAGCCCTTTTCTAGCAGCGAGGGTGTGGTGGAAGTCTCAGTCATGGAGGGTGGGACTAGGAAGGTGACAAGGAGGTGGTAGGATTTTGTCCTAGTCCCTGACTGGGCAGGTCGTGTCCAGTTTGTTTTTCCCTCTAGTGACCGCACTGGGAGCTCCTTGACAAGGGCCCCAGGCTGCGCACTCTTGTTCTCTCACTGAAGTGGGGTTGGTACAGTGAGGAGCCAACGGCATGGCCAGCGTCGGCTTACTGGCCACCTCCCCAAGCCTTGGCCACACTATGGTCACTGTTATTACTCCTGTTTCAGAAGGGAGGACGCTGAGACCTTGAGAGGTTTAGAAGCTAGCCCTAGGCCACACAGCTTGTGCTTGTCACCCTCCCCACACTTTGGGCTGAGTGCTTTCTGTGTATAGCCTTCCCATTTTGTGAAGCAGGCTGAGGCTGAAAGGTGGGGTGTTTTTTCCCAAGGCCAAATCTCTGCCCTTGAAGCCCAGGGGTCAGAGGAGAGCCAGTGGCCACTGAGAATGTCTATGCATCTATCCTGTGCCTAGCCCTATGCAGGAGCTAGGGACACAGAGAGGACCATGACACCATCCCTGGCTTTAAGCTAGTCCTGTGGGTGGGGAGTGAGGCAGGCACTCAGCCTGTCACATGGCAATGGGGAGAGTAGGTCTCAGGCCTGAAGTGATACTGAATTTAAAGGAGGGAAAGTCAGGGAGCACTTTACAGAGACATTGTCACCTGAGTGAGGTTTTCAAGGACACATAAGAGCTTGTAATGTGCACGAACAGTGTGCACGGGCATGACTTCTGTCTGGCGTCTTGCAATGTATCCGTCTGGAGTGGGATGAGAGTTGGTACGTCAGCTCTGTGAAGCTGCTGTGAGAGACTGTGAGGAATTGTCATTGTTGAATCCTATGGGCTAGGTGCTGCTCCGCATCTGACATACAGGGTCCTTGCCTCCCTGTGCCCACTGGCCCCCTCTGCCTGCCACTCTTAACTGCCCTTGCCATCTTCTGTGATCTCTAGCTGCCGGAACAATTCAAAGTTCCCTGGGGATATGTATTGCCTCTTTGGTCTCCTGGCCTAGGCTATAAGATCACCCCTCTGTCTGAGCTGTCACCTCCCCCAGGAAGTTTGCCCTGACTGCCCAGACTGGATGGGATACTCACCCTGACCTTCCATAGCCCCGTGTCCTTCCACTGTCTTGGGACCAGGGCCCTTCTCTGATTCACCCTTGCAGTCCCGGAAGAGGTGCCCAAGGCAGGGGATAGAGCAGGCAGTTGGTGAGAGACAGCAAGAGGGGCTGCCTTGCTGGGCTCCTGGGCTGGGAAAGTACAGCAGGCAGCTCAGGCTCTGCAAGGACCAAGCAGGGGTGGCTCTGGTCTTGGGCCCTGGGTGGGCAAAGCTGAGGTTCTAGGCCCCTCAGTCTTTACAGGGAGGACATATCAGAGGACATGCTGGCGGTGACCTGCTGGCCTCAGGTGGCCACTGGGCCCTTTTTTCTCTTATGCCACAATCCCCACTGTTTATGTCTCATTCTTGGGTTTTGGCCGTTGCCTTTGGAGACAGTCCTGCTGACCTGTTGGTGGTGTCCTTTTTTCTTAGTATGGTGGGGAGTGCCAGCATCTTCCTCACTCCACAGCCCCACCTCCACTCTGCCTCGGCATCCCCTTGTGTCTCTTTCTGCATCCCCTACTCTCTGCCTCTCTTCTCTTCCCCCCTGCTACCTTCCCATCTCCCCTTCAGAGGGAGCCTGGGGGTTGGAGGGAGCAGGGCCAGAGAGAGAACCCGGGGAAGGCCTGGTGAGCCGACCCTTCAGGTAAGGGCTTCCCCTGGCCTGCTCCAGCTCCCTCCTCCCAGCCCGGGACTCCCTCTCTGTCTTGACCCACTCACCCCTCACTGCTTCTCCACATAGCTGCAGAGGGACAGCTGGGACACACTAGATGGGGGCTCCTCTGAGAGTGCCAGGTGGGAGCAGAGTGTGTGGCTGAGCTCATGTGTGTGCCCGTGTATGCCTGTGTGTGTGTATGAACACACAGTGGATCAGTGTGTATGAGTGTGAATGCCCAGGGTCTGGTCTGGCATGGCCTGCTGGACTGTGCCTAGAGCTGGTCACGCCGACTCTGAGTGACCCCTGGAGTGCCCTCCTGGAATGGTGACTTGCCAGCTCAGCGTACTCTGGGCTATTCTGGGCCTTGGGCCCAGGAAATGGAGTCACGTAGGGAGGTGGGCCTTCTCTGCCTGGCCCCTCTCCTGTTGAGCCTACTTTTGAGCTACCCAGGTGGGAGGAGCATCTGAGGGTACAGTTTGATCAGCACATAGGGGTCCCCGCCCCTTCTGCTGCCTTTGAAGCCTGTCCTAAGCGCCACTCTCGGTTAGTGCTTGGGCCCTGGTAGACCCGGGTAGAGGTGGGGTGGCTTGGGACCAGATGGACTCAGTCCTGCTGTGGCGACCACAGTGCTGTGAGACCGCAGGACGGTCCCAGTGCCCTGGGCTGGGCGATACTGACCTCCCAGATCTGCGCTGTGGTACCGATGACTGGGCGCTCTCGGGTTGGCCCCTGGGCTAGTCTGCTCTGTTGCTGCTAGCAGAAGACACCTGCCTGGAACTGGGCGATCTGTAGGAGTAGACGTTTGTTTGGCTCTATGGTTCAGAGGTGCAAGGTCCAAGGGTGCATCTGGTGAGGCTCTTCTGGCTGCAGCAGATGGTGGAGGGCAGGAGACTGTAGGTCTGTGTCCACGTCTCTGTCTGGTCTCACCTCCTCTCCTTATAACCCACTCGGAATCACGTCTGGGGGCCTCGCCCTGATGACCTTAATCCTGATCTCCCAGAGGGCCCACCTTTGGATTAAGTTCTCACCTTCTTAATCCCATCATAGCTGAATCTGGATGTATGAGTTCTGGGGGACATGCAAACCATGGCAGCCACCCTCCTTCTCAGGTAACACTCTTCCTTCTCTCTCTCCCTTGGCAGGTCCTCCAGAAACTGGGGAAGGCAGATGAGACAAAAGATGAGCAGTTCGAACAGTGTGTCCAGAATTTCAACAAGCAGCTGGTGAGTGTGGGTGGCCCTTGGCCTCAGGGAGCTTGTGAAAGCGGAATGGTTGCTGCCAGGTGGGAAATGGCAAGAGCCAAACTTGTGGAGTAGGGAGCTCGGAAGTGGGAAAGCAGTGTGGCTGGCAGTCTCTGAGGACTTCTTGGAGGAAAAAGCACTGGCACTGAGCGCGAATGCTGAGAAAGAACAGGGTTGGGGTGTTCTTTAGGTTTAAAATAAGATGTTGAAAGGGTGGTGGGCCAGCAATAGGTTGTGCCTAGATGGCAGGACCTTGCACATCAAGGCAAGCGGGAGCCGCAGAAGCAAGTGGGAGTTGGAGTGTGGCGTCTAGGGGTTAGTGTAGATTTGATGTGGGCACCTGCTGAGTGGGATGGTGCCTCGCTCCTGGTGTGGCAGGCTCTGGGCTGGGCCAGCTGTAGATGGCTCATGGATGCCTCCCAATAGCCCTACAAGGCATCTCATTGTTCCGTTTTGTAGATGAAGCAGCGGAGGCTCAGAGAAGTTGGGTAATTTGCTCAAGGCTGTCCAGCTTTGAAAGTGGATTCAGACCCATACCTGTCTAGTTTTAAAGTCTGAAGGGGACTTCCCGGGCATCCATAGCAAGGCCCATTATAGGCCATGACCAATGACAGAAAGGGCTAGTCCTGTTGGCAGCCTGCAGGCAGCGCTTAGATACAAGGAAGGCCACCCTGACTGCAGCCCTCAGCTGCCCCTAAAACTTTCCCCCCAGAGACCGCTGAGTGCAGGACGGGCCATTTCTGTGGCTATATCTGAGGATAGCGGAAGAGGGAACTAAGATAACCCTGGCAATCGCTCTCTCCTGGAGGAGGCCTCAGTTGCAGGAAGGGAGGAAGAGCTGGACCACATCTCTGTGGCTTCTGTGGGCCAGCCCAGCGAGTGACAAATTGGATGGAGGCCAGAGGAGGAGCCTCAGGAATGGAACTGGCCATGGGGAGTGAGCTCAGGGTGGGGGCTGGGAGCAGCTGGGAGGAAGCCAGGGAGATTCTGGGAGGAGGGAAGCATTCTGGGATAGGGTTGGGGCATTCTGGGATATTGTCAGGAGTATTCTTGGTCAGGCCAAGGATAGGGTCAGGAAACATTCTGGGATGGGGCTGGGGAACATTCTGGTAGCACCAGGAGCATTCTGAGAGAGGACCTGGGAGCAGCTGGGAGAGGATTGGGAAAAGCCCCGCTGCAGGTCCACCCTGGCCTGAGAGAGGGGCTCAGCTGGGGGCTCCCTCGGCCGGGTATAGGAGCCACTATGGCTTGTCTCCCCAGGCCAGTAATGGGAGGTGTTTCAAGGCTCACATAGGCCCCGAAGCAGGGCTATCTACCTCTGAGGCCCTCTTGAACTTTAGCTTTCTCTCCTGCACAATGTAGGCCATGAAACCTGAAGTCTTAGCTCCTCAGTCTGTCTGCTGGAAGCCCTCCTGAGCCCACTGGGCACTGGTCACAGGAACTTTCTCTGCGCTGAGAGACCTTGGAGGGCTCTCTTGGCCTTCCACTCACAGAGGCTTGCCATCCCAACTCAGGCCCTCCTGGAAGCCATTAGGGTTCTTGCAGGTCAGCTACACGCTTACCCCTAAGGGCAACCTGTAACCTGTAGGACTCCAAGGTTCACCATTACTGCCTGTCACTGAGGTGGGGCAGGTCTGATTCCTTCTTGTCCTAGGTTCCATCTCAGGCTCTACTTGAAGTGGGCATCCCTGGCCATTGAGTGAAAATTGAGTCCCTGGCATTAATTGCTAAGGAGCAAGAATCAGAGCTGGAGCTAGAGGGGGTCCATGAAGGAAGTGATGTTCTGATCCCCAACACCCCATGGGATGATGGGGGTGTGAGTCTTTGGGCCACTGGTGGGACTAAAGTGGAGAGAGGTGCAGCAGGGGCGTGGGGCTACTGACTGAGTCTAGCTCCCCCAGAGCTGACCAGGCCTGTTGACCTCCAAGGCCTAGAGCTGAAGGTTGGGGTGGGCAGTGGCTCCGGTGGGCTATGATTAGAACCCTGGATCTCCAGAACACTGGTTTGCAGACACCCTGTTTGGGGGCTGAGGGAGTCCATTGGGAGTGAACACATGCAACTCTTTGCACTGGCCTGGGCACTGCCCTGCAAAGGCAGCTGGATTGGGCCCAGGGTAGGGAGGGCTGGGTCCTCCCTGGGGAGGCTAGCCCGGGGCGGCCCCTTGCACATCTGTGTGCCACGTGCCCGCTCACAGCCCGGCGTTGTTTGAGAAGCACAAGGGACCCTGGTACGGCCTGAAGCCTGGGTGTATGCAGCAGCCAGGCCTGTGGGGGATCCCTTGCTGGGACACAGTGTAGGGACAGGTGCTGAGGGATAGAGTGGAGGCAGGAGGTGTGGCTAGGGTGATGGGGCTTTGGTAGGGAGAGAGGCTGGGTCTGGAATATTCTGTGACATCATATCACGAACATGTTTTAATCCTCATCTGAACCCACAGAGCATGTCATTGTTAAGATGAGGGAGGCTGTGTCTGGAGTGGGCTGGACCCTTCCTCATTCCCCACTCCCTGATGGGATTCCAGAGTCTGAGGCTTGTGCATTGGGCTTTTATGTCTTCATTTAATCTTTAATCAGCGAGTCTCCAATGTTATGTTCCTACGGATTTTGTTGGGCCAGAGTTTTCTACTATACTCTTAGGGGACTGAAGGCATTTGAGAGAGGGTTTTCACCTCTTACTGCTTTGTATTACTTACCATCTTGTGTGCCACTCTCAGTCCTTCCCTGCTGTTGTCCCCACTGCAATGTGGAAGTGGTCATCGCAAAAAATAGGAGGATCCCTGGGATCTGCGGGGACCATATTGTTACCAGATACTCAGCAAGCTGCAGACTGAGAGCCTGAGCCACGGAGGGCCTCGGTGACTCAGCGCAAGTTGCTCACCCTCTCAGCTTCTGTGTTCCTTGTGTGGGGACAGTGGAGTTGAGAGGACGGTGCATGGAACGTGCCTGTTCCCGTGGGCAGCTGGTGCACGGAGCTCGGTGGGCTCTGCCTTGTACAATACCTCTGTGATATTGAGAAGAGGGAGGAAGGACTGGCCTCTGCTGTGGGGGTAGGGCCTGTTTAGGGACACGTCAGTGGGCTGAGTGTGTGGGGAGTGGGGGGTGAGCTGGTGAAGGCGGCAGGTCCCTGTTTACTTCACCTGGAGACTGACTTCTGGCTCGTGGCCAGGCTGGGGCCTGCAGGGGTGCTGGGTCTCCTGGGACCACAGCCAACTGCCGAGTCTGTCTCCTTACTGTCCCCTCCAGGGCAAGGGGATCTAGAATGTGGGTGTCTTGGTGGCATGGGTTGGGCAGCAGGGCCGCTGGGGAGGTGGCTTTTCCCTGGGCAGGGCAGCCTTAGCACCACTGCCCTCCTGTCTGCTCTCTGCTTCACATTCTGGTCCTCAGGGTGCACCCCTCTCCTGAGCCGGCCTTCAAGGCTCTGGGCACTGGCCTGGCTTCCTCAAGTCACTCCCTGAGCACCTGCTGTGTGCCAGGAGGGATCATTCACGCCATTGATGAAGGAGAGTGAGGCTCAGAGATGCCCACTGACTAGCTCAGGGCTGCATGTCTAGTTAGAATCAGAGCTGGGTCTGTGTGGCCTCAAAGCCCATGTATGCTTCTCCCTCTTTTCTCTTGGCTTCTAGAAACATCAGCAGCTCACTGCTGGTGGTCTTGGACCTTGTGCAGGATTTCTCTCTTGTTTACTCCACTTAGTACCTGGAGCTCAGCTTTTCTGCTCCTACCTTCTGTGGTATTGACAGCTCTAAAGGACCTAGGCCTGGCATGTGGTTCTACCCTCTGTGGGTCTTGGTGTTCCAGGAAGGCCCCAGGGTTGCTCTCCCAGCTCAGGGAGCTTCACAATCTTCCCACCCCCTCTTCAGCCTTTCCCTCCTCTTCCTACATCCCCCCTCTCAGCTGGGCCAGTGACCTCAGAGTCCTGGACATAACCCCCCACTTCTGTACCCCTGTTGATGCCATCTGCTTTGGAGGACTCCTCTCCCCAGAGGTCCATCCTGCAGCCATTAGAGCCCTCCTGTTCCCATGAAGGCTGTCTTTACATCCCATTCCCTGGCACAGAGCTGCGGGAGCCCTCTGTTTCTGGACATGCAGAACGAGGGGCCCGTTGGTCAAGCACCCGTCCTGCCCGTGCTCCTGTACTCATTGGCCACTTGTCCACAGGTGTCTGAAGGCAGGTCTGCCCGTGCAGTCCCGTAGTGCACGTGTGCTGTGCCAAGCGGGTGTCATTCAGTTGTGCCCCCTGTGTGTCCTCCAGGGCACAGGGTCTCTGTTCTGCTTTCTGCACAGGTCTGGAAACGGTGCCTGGAACAGGCAGGCTCTGACAGACACGTGCCAGTGTCGCTGTGACAAGGGCTGTCGAGGCAGGGATGGGGCCAGGAATGCAGTGCTGCGTTTCTAGTAAGGGACATTAAGGGTGTAGCTGCCATCCTCTCAGCTCATCAGGAGGGCACCTGGCCATCCATGTGGATTGATGGGGAAGAGAGAATCAGGGACCTGGTGCCCTAGCCCTGACCTGGACCTTGTCTTTTGCAGACTGAGGGTACCCGGCTGCAGAAGGACCTCCGGACCTACCTGGCCTCTGTCAAAGGTAAGAGGCGTATAGAGCAGACCCGGCTCGCATGCAGCTGGGGGGTGCAGGGCTGGGAGGGGCAGCAGGCCTGGGATGCTATGGGGGCCACATGCCTCTCTCTGCCCCACAGCCATGCACGAGGCCTCCAAGAAGCTGAGCGAGTGTCTGCAGGAAGTGTACGAGCCCGACTGGCCCGGCAGGGATGAGGCAAACAAGATCGCAGAGGTGAGGGGGGCTGGTGGCCTTGGCCCTTCTGCCCTTTCCAGGGGGCCATTATGGCCTCTGCTACTGTCTCCCCTCTCAGCTGGGACAAGCCCTTCTGGCTCTCGGGCGCATCGCCTTCCCTTTCCTGATATGCCCTCATTTTCGGTGTGTCAGATGATGCGCTGTGGCCAGCCCTCATCTGGGTTATGGCTCGTAGCTCCCAAAGCCTGCTTGCTACCCACCAGCCCTGAGTGTATCTGATCCTCATGGTGACCTCACAAGAGGCTACAGGGCAGGAGTTATTACCCATTTTACAGATGGGGAAACCGAAGCTCTGACAAACCACCAAGTTGCCATGTGACAGGCCGGGCTGCCCCACGGTCCCTGGGAGGTGAGTCCTGGGGTCCCTCTGGTGGCACACTCTCGTGCTCTTGCCTGTTCCAGAACAATGACCTGCTGTGGATGGATTACCACCAGAAGCTGGTGGACCAGGCGCTGCTGACTATGGACACATACCTGGGCCAGTTTCCTGACATCAAGGTGAGAGGCCCTTGGCTGCCTGTGTAGGGGGCTGGACAGAGGACACGGCCCCGGGGGTGTGGCCAGAGCTGGCTCAGGTGTGGATGTGACTGCCCTGGAGGCAGGTACCCTGGCCTGGTGTGTTATCCTTCCAGGGCTGCTCCCTCAGCAGCCAGCCCATCAGCCTCTGCTCCCCAGACCTGGGCCTTCCTGGCCATGGACGAACACCACGGTGCATTCACAGGTGTGGCGTGTCTGTGGTGTGGTGCATGATTGTGCGAGGGTGTGTGCACAGAGGTGTACCTGTCTCCTGTCATCTGGGTATATTTCTGTGATAGTGTGTTCAGAAGTTGCTGGCTGTGCCAGGCCCAGGTGTGTGCTAGAAGTTTCAGGGAGCCAGGGTCTCTGCTGAGGTGAATGGGCCCCTGGATGCTGTGTTCTTGTAGGTAGGAGAGTGGCTAAGGTGTCACACCTGCTCCCCTTGGCGTCACACTCATACTGGCTCTGGGGGCCACCCAGTGCAGATGCCTCTGGCTCTCTTGGACTGCTGGCGAGAAGTCAGGCCTAGGGGATATCTTGGAGGGGCTTGGGGCCCAGCCAAGGAGGAGGCTCAGTGGCAGAGCTGGCCAGGGGGTCCTGCCAGCTGGATTTGTGCTGCTAGGGACAGGTCTAGCACAGGTCCAGCTGCCATGAAGGCTGTGGTCCCTGCCACCCGGGGCTGGAGCCACAAGGGCTCAGGCATGCCTGGGAGCGGTCTCTGCCCTGGGCCCAGCAGTGACGAGCATCTCAGCAAGGCCCCAGGCCCTGTTCAGCCACTCTCTCTCCCTTGGTCCCCAGTCACGCATCGCCAAGCGGGGACGGAAGCTGGTGGACTACGACAGTGCCCGGCACCATTTTGAGTCCCTTCAAACCGCCAAAAAGAAGGATGAAGCCAAAATTGCCAAGGTAAGGTCTGTGGGGTGGGGTCGGGGGTGTCTGCAGGGGCTGGGGTAGGGTGGGATGTCCAATCCCCCCTGGGAGGAGCAGGGTGGAGGAATAGCAGAGGTTGCACATGGGTGGTGGTGGGCACTGGGCCCTGGCCCCTTTCTGGCCCCTCCTGTCTGCTCTGAGGCCACTTTCCAGATGAGAATAGGCCTGGCTTGTGTTTCACTGGGATGGTGCCGCCCTGCCTGGCGTGCTCTGAGTGGAATTCTGTCACAAGATCCGATGTGACCCTGTCTGGCCAAGATGAGCTGGTCGGCCTGGGGCTGGCCACATGGTGAGGGGCCAAGGGTGGGACTCTCCTACCCTGAGGCAGGACTGTGCTTGCTGGGCCCCTCCTTCACTGCTAACCACTGTCATGTTTTGCCTTTGCAGTTGGAGCCTCCCCCCAGCCCCCCAAACCCTGGCGGTCCCTAGGGCTCCCTTTGGTTCTGTCTGCCTCTGGGCCTTATCTGCTGCTAGGCCCTGACTCCTGGAGGGGTGGCTGGCTTTTCTGTTGCTGCATTTGGGCATGTAGACTTGGTGTTTAATCTCTGTGTCTGTTTCTCTCTCCCACCTCCCTCCTGTCTCTCCACTCTCTTTTGCCTTGACCTACCCCCCTAGCCTGTCTCGCTGCTTGAGAAGGCCGCCCCCCAGTGGTGCCAAGGCAAACTGCAGGCTCATCTCGTAGCTCAAACTAACCTGCTCCGAAATCAGGTGACACTGGCTTCTAACCTTGCACGCGCTGGCGCCTTCCGGTCTATCTTCCTGTCCTCTTACTGAGCACCCGTTTGTCCAGCTGCCCTGTGCTGCCAGGGGCCAGGGAGTGCTCAGCGACTTCTGGGGTCAGGGGTGGGAGGCTGGGCTGGTGGCTGGGAGCTGCAGTTGGGTAAAGAGTTTTCAAATGCCTCTGTAGGAAGTGGTACATTTCACTTCCTGCTTTAGAGGTCAAGGGGTTCTGGTTAATCCAGGCTGGGGGCCCATGTGTGTCCGCTGTTCCCAGGTCTGTGGTCATTCCAAGACTCCTCTGAAACCCCAGTGTCTCAAATATTCAGAAAGGCCTTTTGGCCATTTATCCTCTGAGAGGGCTCCAGGGGAGGGAGGCTCCTGCCCTGGCATGTGCTGTCCTTCATGCCTCATAAGAACTCTGCAGTTTTCCTGAGGAAGACCTTCCCAGAGAGGCAGTCTCTCACCCAGGGTTTGTCCTCTGTGGATCTCTTGGAGGGCAAATGATCAGTAGTAGGAAGTGCTTCTGGAAGAAAGCTTTTTGTAGAAAACTTCTGGGACATGCCACCATCCTGGCCATAGATCCCTTGCTCTGCTTGAACCCCCGTCATGGAACGGGCTGTGGTGTGGCCGGGGGGCTGTAAGTAATGCCCTGTGCGAGGTGGGCCATGTGTTTTATCTCCAGTGAAACGGAGGCACATTTCAGGTCAGGGAAGGCGCAGCCTGAGTGAGATTCCCATACCCCTTCGTAGTTGGGGTGTCGGGGGGATACAGACCTGACCCAGGAGGTTGGGTTTCTTTTGGGCAGCTGCCCCAGTAGCTTTTGGGCCACCTTCTGATTTCATCATCTTCACCCGCATGCGTTACCTGCCAGCGATGCGGAGAGCTGAGCTCAGCAGTGTTCGCTGCCTGGTTTCTTTAGGGTGAGGCTGTGGGCTGACTTGGAGGCACCTGGTAATTTGGTAGTTCAGTAGCTGATATCTTCATCCTGAGGTTGGGACTGGGGAAGACGTTCTGGGAGGTGGAAGGAGCAGGTCTGGATTGGGCTGTTGTGCCTGGAGGGAAGTGGGGATACTGACCCAGACTGGAGGTTCTGCAAAATGTTCCCTGAAACAGATGAAGCATTTTCATTGGGTGGGAGAAGCCCCCCTGGGATCTGTGGGCCTTGGGTGGGGCCTGGTCTGTTCCCTGCTTTCAGGCTCTTGGGGTGGGTGTGGTTGGGGATCATGTTGGGAGGGCTCCACCCACATCCTGGGGCACAGCAGGAGGGGCCGAAGTGCAGGATCACAACTGCAGTTGCTGGACCACAGATGTTTCGCCTTTCGGCCAGTTTGGCTTCCCTTTGGAATCCCATTTATGTTTGAGCAGCCCCCCCGCCCCCCACCCCACCTCGTGCCTGGCTGAGAGCTGGGGAGCTGTGGAGTTGCACGGGCAGCCGCAGGCTGGGAGCTGGGTCCATGGGAGCTCAGACCACCCTGCGGATGGACCTGACTTGGGGGAGATGTGCGTCCTCTCAAGGCTCTGCTCTGGGAGCTCGTCAGTTCTTGTGTCCCCTGAGCTAGGCCCGAGCTTCTCCACATAGTGAAGCAGGCTCCCCAAATCTGCCCCCGTCTATCAGCCATGGGTTACAAGGCCCCCAAACCCTGTCACTCATGTGCTTCTGAAAGAGCCAGAATATGAGGAATGTGACCTGAAGGGGATAAGACAGAGCTGCCCTGTGGCTGGGCCGCTAGTCTGTGTGAGCGAGGCTGCTGCCCGGAGGTGCCGCCCAGCTCTTGTCCCATAGTCCTCCCCTTCGCTGGTTTGGGAGTTAGGACCAATGCTGGCCAGGTGGGCAGTGGTAGCTGTATCCTCATGGAAAGGTGGTCTTGGTGGGCATGGGAGCTGAAGAGGTCCGGGTGGGTTCTTGTGGAGTGTGGGACTCGAGGCAGCCTCTCCACAGCGAGGCCAGAGCTTGCACAGTGGGCAGTGGCTGCTCACAGTGTCCGGGGAGTTGCTTATCTTGTGCATCCCACAGTCTGTCATAGGCAGCACCCCCTCCACCCCCGCATTGGCCCTGGGATGACCAGCCACAGCTTGGAGACAGAGGGACAGAGGAGGGCCAATATTCTCATCCCAGCCATGTGTAGGGGCTGAAGTCTCCCCAAATCTGACCCATTCCAAGAGAGACATGTGTTTCTAGATCGATGTGTCTTTTTCTCCCTATTCCAGCCTCAACTTTTTATGAACTTTTAAAAAGTCGGGGAAGAAACCTGGGCACTCTAGCGAGCGGCCACGGTGGCCCTTCTCTGGCCCTATCCCAGGTCACTGTAGAGGGCCAAGGAGGGCTGGTAGGCAGCCGGAGATGGGGGCTGATGACGCTGGACTGGTCGAGATGGCTGGCTGGGCTCGTTGCAATCTATCTGAACTTCGTGGCTATCTGCTAGGAGGAGGCTCCAGCCTGGCCTGAGAATGTGAGGCCCGCTGACGGGAAGCTTTCCCCTGGGCGGGGCCCTCACGTTCTTGGGCCCTGACTCAGACCCTGAATCCAAGTCACCCCCGAGTCACTATCCCAGCAGCCCCCTCCTGGGGTCTGTGACTCAACCCCTCCTGCCGCCCTTCCCATCACTGTCTGTGCTATGGTGCTTTAGCGCCACCTGCAGGAGGATGTGAGCAGCCCAGCGGGAGCGGGGCCAGCTCTGTAGCCACTGCTCTTTGGACCTACTTTTTCCTCCTTTACCCCCTGCCTCTTTGGAAGTGCCTCAGCTTCTACTTCTGGCCTCATTCTTGTGGGGACAGTCACAGGAGAGAGAGGAGTGGAAGGGAAGACATCCCAGGGAGGTGATAGGAAGGCTGGTGGCTGAGGCTGAGCAGGAGGTGGCCTTGAGAAAGGAGGGAACGCGTGGGGCTGCTGCTTAGCCTGAGGGCTTCATGTGGAAGGGGGCAGCCCCACTTGGCTGGTCTGGGGTCCGTCTCTAGCCCTTCCTGGTCCTGGCCCTCCTATTCACCCCTCCTGTCCTGCAGTCCCCAGCCCTCTTGGGCCACATAGGTGGCTCTCCCTTTGTCCCTTTGCAGCGGCTGCCTTGTCCCCCCCTCCCCAGCCTGTGCCTGGCTGCAGGGGCCCTGGGGGCTGCAGTGGGAGGTGGCTGGCTGTATCCAGCTCAGCTCCATCTTGCCCAATGGGTGGGGGTGCCTGAGGGTGGTCAGGTCTGAGGGTGGGCCTGGCCTGAGCTGGCCTGGGCTGGAGGGATAGACGCCTAGCACAGGGCCCAAAATGACCCATACTGCCCCCCAGGCTGAGGAGGAGCTCATCAAGGCCCAGAAGGTGTTTGAGGAGATGAACGTGGACCTGCAGGAGGAGCTGCCATCTCTGTGGAACAGGTGAGGCTGCAGGTGCCCGTGGGCCTGCCCAGAGCACAGTGCCCAGCCAGAGTGCCCGTCTGCAGTGCCTGTTGCCATCAGGGTTTGTGGCCCTGACGAAGTGTTTGTGGTCACACAGGTGGGTTCTGGGCAGCCTGGCCCGACCTGCCTGCTGACCTGGTCCTTCTCCCCTCCCTCTTGCAGCCGCGTGGGCTTCTACGTCAACACGTTTCAGAGCATTGCGGGCCTGGAGGAGAACTTCCACAAGGAGATGAGTAAGGTGGGCCCTGGTGACCCCGCTGTGGACCTTAGGGACTCAGGGTCATGCTTCACCCGAGCCAAGGAATAGAGTTGGAGGCATAGGAGGGGAAGGCCAAGTTTCCCTTTCCTGCTGGGGTTCAGCACATGCTGGTGAGCACAGTGGTCCTTCTGGACCCGGGGGGGGGGGGGGGGGGGCGTGCGGCGGCGTGTCCCCTCTGGG